AGCTCTCTGGTGGTGAGCGGGCGAGCTGGCTCAGCGGCGCGGGGCGTTGGGCTCTGGCCACTCAGGCATGGCCGGCTCTGCTTCCCCCCCTCCCTCCGTCCGGACCGACCGCCTGCCCGCCCGCCTGCCTCCCTCTTCGGCCGGCGCGGCCCTGCGTCACTCGGCGGCGCAGCAGCTCCTTCCTGGCCCAAATGAAGTGCACCCAGTGTACAAGACGACACCCCCCCCCACTTGGAGGCATGTTTTTGGGCCAAAAAAGTCATCTTGTATGCCAGCAAATACGTTATGTACGACACCCTATTAGAGCAGTACAACAATGGAACCAATTTGAAAGGTGGTGAGTGCTCCCATACTGGAGGCATTCAAGAGAAAATTAGATAACATCTGTCAGATACACTTTGATTTGGATTCTTGCATTGAGCAAGGGGTTGGACTTGATGCCCTTATAGGCTCCTTCCAACTCCATTATTCTATGATTCTATGTTTGAAATACAGTTTCTGTTTTCTACTGATTCATGGAAACTTCTACTGCTGGACTGCCCCTTTCAGTGCTGTAAGTGGAGAAATGGTGTATCAAAGGAATATGCAAATAGGCATTGAAACAGACAAGTGTTTGGAAGCAATCTCCATGTGCTTATTAAAATATCTGCATCATTTGCTCGATTTTAGCAGAGGGGTTAAATAAACAAAAGGGACGTGGTGGACCTGCGGGTTAAACCGCAGAAGCCTCTGTGCTGCAAGGTTGGAAAACCAGCAGTTGTAAGATCAAATCCACGCGACGGAGGGAGCTCCCATTGCTTGTCCCAGCTCCTGCCAACCTAGCAGTTCAAAAGCATGCAAATGCAAGTACATAAATAGGTACCACCACGGTGGGAAGGTAATAGTGTTCTGTGTCTAGGCGCTCTGGCCACGTGGCCACGGAAACTGTCTACGGACAAAGGCTGGCTCTATGGGTTGGAAATGGGGTTGAGCGCCGCCCCCTAGAGTCAGACACGATTGGACAGTCGTCAAGGGGAACCTTTACCTAAATAAATAATCTTGAGATCTCAAATGACTTCTTAAGTCAAATACTGTGCAAGAGCTAACAATATAATATTTTCATAATTCCTTCTTTCCAGTTCATACTGTTGAATTAACTTGACGGAGCCAGTTTTGACATTTGCTTTAAAAAGTACAGTACTGTAGCTTCTTGCCTTGTCATTTCAAACCATATTTTTTGTTAAACTTTAAATATTACTTGCTTTCAGGTGAAGGTGCCATCAATTTGTCATTAGCACAGAACAGAGGCCAAGATGTACGAATTAATGGACAAGGCAGCTCAGTACGAATGGAGACAGGATTTCCCATGTCAGGAAGCCAAGGCAAGTTCATTTGTTCGTTCTTAGAGAACTTATATTTGTGAAATGTGTAGTCGTCTTCCTACAATGTGAAAAGTCTATCTCTTGACACAATGGCAAAGTATACCTTTAAGCTCCATGTTTCTTGTCATACATTTGGCTTTTGAGAGGTGGTGAGGCATTTTTGAAGGGAGTTTTGTGCTTAGGTGAAGAAAGTAAAAGAGAATGTGTAGCTGCATTCCAAATAAAAAATAAGAGAACAGTTTAAAAAAGGCACAGTCTATTGAGATAGTGATCATTTTTGATGGATTCATAGCCAACAGATCCAATAATTAAAATATATAACATTGAAATGAATGTTGAAATTGAAATAATTTATATACATGTCAAGAGAGTTCATCCTGTTATTATGAGCTGTCAAGTGACTGCTGAATAATGGTGAGACTAATAGGTCTACAAAGTTTATGAATTTTTCAAAAAGTACTTTACCTTTGCCATTCACCAGTGAACGTATGTGGTTTGAACTGGGATTTGTGCCCTTTGACAGAGAGAGGTAGGGGCTTAGACTTTTTCTACACAAAGTTGCAAAGGAACAACAGCTACTGTTACCACTCTAAGGGAATCAGCTTCACTCAAGGAAACTATCGAAACCAATCTTGTAGATTTTAATAGAGTTTCTGAGAATTTCCAGCTTTATTCTGTGCTGAGAGAACATGCTTCAGCAATAGCTTCAGTCAGTTTTGGAAACATGACTAATTGGGTGTTTTCATTTCCATATATTGCTGTTAACAAGTATGTATATCTGAAGACACAAGCAAGAGTTTGAGAACAAGAGATTTTTCTCATGGTACCTACTAGACTGAGTATTTTAGAGGGTAGAAAGGTTAAGCTAAATAATGTGTATAGAAGCCTATGGAATTTCATAAAAATAAGGCCTGGTCCAAGAACTTCTAAAAATATGTGAATAGATTGGCTGAAATCCTGTTGCATAGCTGTGTGGTGTAACTGAGCATTATGCCTGTGATAGCTACACTAGCATCAAGGCAGAAGTGCTATCCATGAAGTACTTCTGCTGATGCATTAGGCAACTGATTGAACAATCAGATTGCAAAACCCAGCAACCTTACCGCTGCATAATTTTATGTTACCTTGCAGTGCACTGGATTCTGGTCATTGTTTCATAATATAGACGTAGAATTGTAATTCCTATTCCATAGTGGGACTTTATCATTATAACACATTTTAAGTCAAAAGTATTGGCATAAAGGGCATTTTTAAAAGAGAAAACTATTTTAACAATAAAATGGTTTTCAAAAAGACTGATTTTAAATACAAAATTTTTACTTTTATTTATTAACATTTATTTGTATCCATTCTGATCCTTACAATGAACATATAAATAAGAGAGAAGATGAGAAATCATTAACTCTCATACAGTATATGTTGTCTGAAGGAGACTAGAATTTCAGGAAACTGAAATTTAATCCAGACAAGACAAAGGTGTTCTTGATCATTCAAAAAGCAGATACAGTGGTACCTCGCTAGATGACGACCCCGCTAAACGACAAATCTGTATAACGATGACTTTTTGCGATCGCTATAGCGATTCGCAAAACAGTCATTCCAGTGGGCGATTTTCACTTGAAGACGATTTGGTCCGTGCTTCACGGACTGTTTATTCGCAAGATGATGATTTCTACAGCTGTTTGGCGGCTTTGCAAAATGGCTGCCCTGTGTTTTACAGACCCATGCTTCACAGGACAGCCATTTTTACAGCTGATTGGCGCTTTGCAAAATGGCTGCCCTATGGGCGATCTTTGTAAAATGACGAGGTATTTTCCCTATTGGAACACATTAAATGGGTTTCAATGCATTCCAATGGGGAAACGCTTTTTGCATGACGATGATTTCACTAAACAGCTATTTCTATGGGATGGATTATCATCGTCATGCGGGGCACCACTGTATAGGTATACTTTTTTCTGTATAGGATGGGGGTTACACTCACTCTGAAAAATCAGGGCCAGAACCAGGGTTTGCTCCCGGGTTTAGAATCTTTCATCAGTGGCTATGAACACATTTGCACACTTAGTGTTCCAGATGGGCCCATTCCTTTATATGGCTACATTGACACATTCCCCAGCCAATGTGATTATTGCAATGCACTCTGTGTTGGGCTCCTGTTCGGAAATTTCAGCTGGTTCAAAATGATATGGCCAGACAGCTGATTGGTCTGAGTTAACATGGAGCATATAACTTCACTGGCTGCTGGTTTGCTTCTGGGCCCAATTCAATGTGCTGGTCATGACTTATAAAGCCTTGTATAGCATTTATAGATTGACCCGAGCTTTCTGAAGAATTGTATTGCCCAATACAAGACTTTCTAGCTTTTTAGATGTTCTGGGGAGGCCTGTGTCTTAGTCTCACTAGCCTCACAGTTTTGCTTAGCAAAGACACTAGAGAGGTCCTTTTTCAGTGGCTGCTTCCAGACTGTGGAACATTCTTCCCTGGGATGCCAATTTGACCTTGTCACCCTTGTCCTTCTGTTGGCAGGTAAAGTCTTTTCAATTGATATGGAACAGTAAATGCTGTTATGGGACTAGTAAATGTCGTCATGGGATGCTGTGTTCCCCTAGCGAACTGATGTGTTCTTTGTGTTCTCGAAGGTTTTCATGGCCGCGATCTGATGGTGGTTGTAGGTTTTTTGGGCTGTTTGGCCATGTTCTGGAGGTTTTTCTTCCTAACGTTTTGCCGGTCTCTGTGGTCGGCATCTCCAGAGGACAAGAGTTAGACCTCTGTGTTCTGTTCTGATGTGTTCTTTGTTTGTGTGCCTTCAAGGAAACAGATATGCTTTTCCCTTGAAGGGTGGAATAGCTAATACCCTGGAAGACAAAAATAAAATTCAAAATGATCTGGATAGGCTTGAACACTGGGCTGAAAACAACAGAATGAAATTTAACAGGGATAAGTGCAAAGTACTGCATCTAGGAAAAAGAAACCAAACACACAGTTACAAGATGGGTGATACCTGGCTCAGCAATACTGCAAGTGAAAAGGATCTTGGAGTTGTTGTAGATCACAAGCTGATATGAGCAAACAGTGTGATGTGGTTACAAAAAAAGCAAATGCTGTTTTAGGTTGCATTAAGAGAAATATAATCCCCAAATCCCGAGAGGTACTAGTTTCCCTCTATTTGGCACTGGTTAGGCCTTACCTTGACTATTGTGTCTAGTTCTGGACACCTCACTTCAAGAAGGATGCTGACAAATTGGAACAAGTTCAGAGGAGGGCAACAAGGATGATCAGGGGACTGGAAACAAGGCTTGTGAGGAAAGACTGAAAGAACTGGGTATGTTAACCTCAAGAAAAGAAGACTGAGGGGAGATATGATAGCACTTTTCAAATACTTGAAAGGCTGTCATACAAAGGAGGGGCAGGAACTGTTCTCAGTCATTCCAGAGTGCAAGACATGTAGCGATGGGCTCAAGCTACAGGAAGCCAGATTTCAGTTGAATATCAGGAAAAGCTTCCTGTTAGAACAGTATTGCAGAGGAACCAATCATCTTGAGACATAGTGAGTGCTCCAACTTTGGGGTCATTCAGGAAAAATTTAGACAACCACCTGGCAGATATCCTTTACAGTGGTGCCCCGCTTGACGATGACCCCACCTGATGACAAAATCGCTTGACGATGAGTTTTTTGCGATCACAAAACGATGGTTCCTATGTTTTTTTTTCACTTTACATTGATTAGGTCCCTGCTTCGCGAACCGTTTGTTTGCAAAACAATGTTTTTTTCCGGCTCCGCAAAATGGCTGTTTTCCGGACCCCTGCTTCGGAAGACAGCAATTTTAAACAGCTGATCGGCGGTTCTCTATGAGTGATCTTCGTTGGACGATGAGATATTTCCCCATTGGAACGCATTAACCGGTTTTCAATGCATTCCAATGGGTTTTTTTTCGCTTGATGACGATTTCGCTTAACAGCGATTTTCCTGGAACGGATTATCGTCATCAAATGGGGCACCACTGTAATTTGTATTCCTGCATTGAGTGGGGGGTGGACTTGAGGGCCTTATGGGCCCATTCCAACTTCATTATTCTATGTTTCTATTATCTTAATGGAAGAATTTCATATTTATATCTGCAGTATGTTCCTGGCTATGTGATCAAGTGCAGACATGTCATTTTTCTGTTAAGTCCATGTAGGAGTGCCGTTTTTTGTTGGTTCTAATTAGATCAAACACGCAGATTAGCATTTCTACATTTCAGTACAGGGCTTAAACATTTTTCATTTTATACAGTGCCATTTTTGATATTCCAATATGATAGCCTGCATCTTTAGACAATGAAAACTATAATTGCATTTCTAGGGTTAATACGAATAAACAATCCTGCAAGTGTTATGATGCAACAAAGTGGGAATGTATCATCATCAATGATGACAAGTGCCCCTAACACAGAACTGCAGCCCAGAACACCTCGTCCAGCTTCCCAGTCAGGTAGTAAATTAATTCTGATTCTAATTAAAATGAAGTCTAATGTCATTATTTTCTATTTTGATAAATCTGTTTGGAGAATGTCTATTTATGTAACTTCCCTGGCTCATCCTTATTAATCTGTACATATGGACTTGTGTTACTTTCCCCTATACATTGCAGTCCTGCCAAATTGTTTTAGATTCTCACCAAAAGAGCTTTGGAATGGTACCAGGGGACAGCTATAGTAAAAAACAGGCAGCCAAAAATCTCCCATTTCACAATCAGAATAACACTCTGCATTCAACCTGCATTCCAAAGCTGTTTCTATCACTTGATTCTCCAAATGTGTTTGATTCTGATTCTAACTAAAATGAAGTCTAATATCATTATTTTCTATTTCGATAAATCTGTTTCAAGAATGTCTGTTTATTTATTTATGAAACTTTCCCCTGGCTTGTCCTTATTAATCTGAAGCCTCGTGGCGCAGTGGCTAAACTGCTGTACTGCAGCCAAAACTGTGCTCATGACCTGGGGTTCAATCTCAGGTAGCTGGCTCATGGTTGACTCAGCCTTCTATCCTTCTGAGGTCGGTAAAATGAGTACCCAGCTTGCTGGGGGGGGGGCAATGTGTAGCCTGCATAATTAACTTGTGAACTGCCCAGAGAGTGCTTGAAGCGCTAAGGGGCGGTATATAAGCAGTACACTTTGCTTTTTACTTTTACATATGGGCCAGATCATCTCTTGCCAGCAGTTCCAGGGATGATGTGAGTCATAGTCTAACATACCTGGAACACACCTGGTATGTTGGAAAGGCTAGTCTAATGTATTGGAAGATTTGCTTGCATTTTTAGCATAATATGTTTCCAGGTTTTGGAATATTGTAGCATTCCAACAGATATATTATTCATTGACCATTTCTGCCAGCATCCTGGTTAAATTTTGAGAACAGTGTTTGAACTACAGATTTTCTATACTTACACATTTTGTTTTCATAGATGCCGTAGATCCACTCTTGTCAGGTCTAACTATCCAACAGCAGACTCATCCATCTGGATCAGTAGTGCCTCAGCTCCATTCAGTACAGTCAGTTTCGGTTAATAGGCAGATAAACCCAGCCAACTTCCAACAGATGCAGCCACAGCAGCACCAGCAACCACGCCCTCCTCAACAGCACCAGCAGCCACAACAGAGTGCTCGCCCTTCATTTACAGGTGCAACTCAGGTTCCAGTTCCTCCTGGTTGGAACCAGGTGCCTTCTGGAACAGTTCAGCCTCCTCCATCCCAGGGTACAATGGGCACATTGACAGTTAACCAAAGTTGGAAAAAGACTCCTTTGCCTGGACAAATGCAACAACAACTCCAAGCCAGACCATCTTTAGCAACAGTACAAACACCTTCTCATCCGCCACCCCCATACCCTTTTGGAAGCCAACAAGCTTCTCAGGCACACACAAACTTTCCTCAGATGAATAATTCAGGCCAGTTCACTGCTCCACAGATGAAGAATCTTCAGGGAGGGCCCTCACGGGTCCCTACGCCACTACAACAGCCCCACCTGACCAACAAGTCGCCTGCCTCCTCTCCCTCCTCCTTTCAGCAGGCATCTCCTGCATCGTCCCCAACAGTTAACCAAGCACAGCAGCAAATGGGACCAAGGCCCACCCAAAATAATACTCTGCCACAGGGGTTTCAACAACCTGTAAATTCCCCTGGCCGTAACCCTATGGTCCAGCAAGGAAATGTACCTCCTAACTTCATGGTGATGCAACAGCAAAACCAAGCTCCACAGGGTTTGCATCCTGGACTAGGAGGTATGTAATCCAGTTTATGAATAAATATTTAGAGATTGTTCATATCATGTAAGCCATTGACCTGCCTTGAGACAAAATACCATGAATAGCTTAATGTGCCATTATCCCGACTGTTACGAATATTTTGTAGGCAGGTTATGCTTCCTTTTTAGCCTCTTCTTTCGTGGAGTACTTCCCAGATGGTTTCATCACTCCCTGGGTTCCTTCTGAATTTATTCATATTGTGATGTATTTGGTTAGTGACCAGAATCCTATTGGTGTTCACCTGATGTTTGTGAACTTGTGAACCTGTGGCTAATTGACAATGTTCCAGGGCATATATTGGTCACATGTCTGATCACATACTTGTTGTACAACCAATATGTATTCTGGCACCTTTTCAGTTACTGTAGCTACAGCAAGTTATTCAAAACTTAGATTAGTTTTCTGGCCAGTATAAGTAAAAATGTGTTTAATGAACACAATTATTCTCTAACTAGGAATACCCAAGCGTCTCCCACCTGGCTTTTCTGCTGGACAGGCAAATCAGAACTTCATGCAAGGTCAGGTGCCTTCTACAGCACCAGGAACATCTGCAAATGGTGGAACACCCCAATTGCAAACAAGCCAAGGTGTGCAACACACAGGTCAGTTAGTTGTATGTTCTCGGATTACTTACCTCTTTGCTAATTTATAGCTGTTTCCTGTAACTGAAGATATACTGCAGCTGGTCCTCTTAACTTCAGAGCAAGTGCAACAGAGAGCAGTGCTTTGGAGAAAAAGAAAGAAAATGAGTTAGAATTTTTATTAAGCCAACAGAAAGGACACAGAAATAACCAAGTTTTCAAGGCCCCAAGGACCCTTCTTCAGGTAGTGATATAACAAATAAGTAGGGGGAAATGGCCTGGGGAAATGACTTCATGTTAAAATAATTAAAGCTAAGTTGTCTGCATGTATTCTGACATACTACGGAAGGAAGACTTTGCAGACACAAATAGAGCTCATTGGGTATTGGAGTTCACTGCAAATTATCCCTAGGGTTCCAGGGAACAAGAAAGGTAATAAATATAATCTGTATGTAAAATACTTTCCCTTAGAAACAGATTTTGAACTAATACTTATCTTTTAGAAATAAATTTTAAATAATGTCTCTATTAAAGAATATTTCATGTTTTTCAAGTATTCATGTCCCGCTTACATTTTTATTCACTTTTTTAATCTTTTAATTCTCTGTGTTCTGATCATATATAGTTGACAGGAATGGTGTCAAGAAATATGTATCAGGCATGGTTGTGGTTGGTAATACAGCTCCTTGTCTGGCACACATGCTTTCAGGCTCTGCTGTTCCATGCACTGGAATTTTGGCAGTGTTGTGAATGTTGATGTTTTTCTGAACTAGCATATACATGTATATAAGTTAATTCCAATTGATTTTTCCAGTTTTTTTTTTAACATTTGCTGTATGATTTTTGAAGGTGGTCAAGGGAATGGTCTTCCCCAGAACCAAATGCAAGTTCAGCATGGCCCATCAAATATGATGCAGACGAATTTAATGGGACTTCATGGAAGTATGAACAATCAGCAGACAAGCACCAGTGGAGTTCCTCAGGTTAATTTGGGCAACATGCAGGGACAGACTCCACAAGGACCACAGTCTCAATTAATGGGGATGCACCAGCAGATAGTATCCTCTCAAGGACAGATGGTGAATATTCAATCTCAGGGATCTCTAAATCCTCAAAATCAGATGATACTGTCCCGAGCTCAGCTCATGCCACAGGGCCAGATGATGGTAGCACCCCAAAACCAAAATCTTGGTCCCACACAACAAAGGATGACTCCACCCAAACAGATGATTCCCCAGCAAGGCCAACAGATGATGGCTGCTCATAATCAGATGGTGGGACCCCAAGGCCAGGTGTTGATGCAGCAGAATTCAATGATGGAGCAGATGATGACCAATCAGATACAAGGAAATAAACCACCATTCAGTGCACAAAGCCAGTCCAATGTTATGACGGGGCCAGCTCAGATCATGAGAGGACCAACTCCAAATATGCAAGGAAACATGGTGCAGTTCACAGGGCAGATGATGACCCAACAGGGCCCTGTGAATGGCAGTTCTTCTCAGGTTATGGGGATTCAAGGACAAGTTCTGAGACCCACAGGACCGAGCCCTCACATGTCTCAGCAGCTGGGTGAAACTACCACTACAACAAATAGTGATGTGAACTTGACACAAATGCTACCTGATGTTTCCATGCAGCAAGGAAACATGGTACCTCCACATTTGCAAGGTATGCAAGGAAACAGTAGTACATCAGGGAACCATTTTGCTGGACATGGGATGCCTTTCAATGCCTCTTTCAGTGCAGCTCAAAATGGGAACCAGATTTCTTGTGGACAAAACCCAGGTTTTCCTGTGAACAAAGATGTCACATTAACCAGCCCCTTGTTGGTAAACTTACTACAAAGTGATATATCTGCTGGACATTTTGGTGTCAACAACAAACAGAACAGTCAAACCGCTAATAAACCCAAGAAGAAAAAGCCTCCAAGGAAGAAGAAAAATAATCAGCAAGTAGAACAAATTAAGTAGGTTTCATATTTTTGTTTCCTACACAGTTGAACAAAGCTTATTTATATTTGTTAGTAATTACTATAAGCAAAAAATTCTGAATCATAAAGTAGTGTCATTTTTGTAGTAGACACCATCCAGAAATAAAGAGAAAAGATTAAAGAAGTAACTTCAACAACTCATCATGTTTTTCTGTTAGTTAATATGTTCGAACCTCAAATTCTGTTGCTTTCTCAATTAATATATTTTTCATAGGACTATTTAGTAATGATATACAAGCAGCAACAGAGAGGTACTGTGAGGAAAGGCTGCAGATCAAATAATGGGCAGCAATTGTGCAGGCCACTCCTGGGAATATGAATGTAGTGTGTAAATTGATTAGATTAGTTTGGCTGTGGGTGAATTAGTATTTTTGTATGGGATTCTTGACTTTGGACATTGCCTCTCAAATGCAGGCAACATTGTGTGAACAAATCCACCTAATGCTCCTTCCAAATGATGCTCCCTTTGTCATGTTGTATTGACATATGCTCAATTTCCTTTTGTTTACCAAGACTTACACATCATTTTTGCAAGACAAGAGTATATACGTTTGGGTAAGACATAACAAATGATTCCCTGCCTACATGACTTGAAAAAAATTGCTGGGCTAGTTCAAACCACTTAAAAGAAGCACTACCCATGTCAAGAGAGTAAGGCTTAGAAATATTTAGTTATGTTTACTGCAGCAACAGTCATGGGATGTATGACTAATTTATCTGATAGGTTAGAACTGTATAAAAACAAAATGCCTAAGTCTAATATGGATAATAAAATTTGATTTTCACATTTGATTTTACATGCTTCACCCCCGATGTAAGTTCAGCTAGATAAGCTCACCTTTATTAATGTCCAAATTAGATATATTTGTGTATAAAATCAATTTCTATAGTAGCATGTTCAGTTTGCACAATAGTTTGATTTGCATATTAGTTAACTTAGTACGACATTAGTATGTGGCTCAAGACTGCTGCACCTACCTTTGGACAATAGAATCAGTTTGTGAACTAGAGTTCAAGAAATTACCTGATTCCCACATTTCTTTTTCTCCTAGCAGGAAGGTTTAAAGTTGGCTATATTACAAGAATCAACACAAAGGATGCTACTGTTTCCAGAGGGTTATTGCTTGGCTTTCTTAGACACTTTGAGAAACACTTAGATAAAATGCGTAACTAAATCTGTGAGAGAAAAATATATATCTATCATTGATTCAGAATATGTAATTAAATAAAGCATGTGGAGATGGGATATATAGTAGAAGAATGTAGTTTGTTACAGTATAGGAAAATTTGCTAGTGATTTTTTTTTATTTGAAAGAAAAGCATAAATGGTTGTATGATGGTCACATGGCTTTTTATTGGAGGTTGGATCTTTAGAAGTACCATATCAGTCTTTTAACAGTAGTTAAAACAAGTGAAACAACTTGCAACACAATCCTACACATGTCTGCTTAGATGTTATGGTCCATCCAGAGCTTGGAATCATTTAATGATGGTGGTGGTGGTGATGATGATGATGATGACGATGATGATGATGATGATTATGACAACGACTAATACTCCAGAATCTCCATGCTGGCTGGAGATATTGGAAATTATAGTCTAAAAGGTAACATTTCCAAGCTCTGGTCCCATCAAATTCAGTAAGCCTTACAGGCAAAAGCATAGATAATGTTTTACTCTTAGCTTATTGTAATACACAGAAAAAATAAGTATGTAGAGTACTCAAAGCAAGGCTTTTCAGTTGACACTATTCCCTTTAAAGTCTCCTCTTCAAGTTTCTTTCGAAAATACCTTCATATTAGTGATTTATAGTGTTCAGAGGGATTTGTTACTGCACTCTTATAACTAATCCCACAAGAGTTACTAGCCTGCTAAAAAGCAAGTCACCTGCAGTTCAGTTCTAGCTGCAAAGAAAGAAGTCACTTTCTTCCTTAGCCAACTTAGAAATATAAGGCACCAGAGTCTTACCAGGTATTTAAAAAGGTTCTTGTGCTTTCTGGTCTGGAAAGAGAGGAATGGAGAAATTTGCCCCTTTTTTGCTAGCTTCTTCATTCATTTGCATTGAATGTATTGCTGACAGTTTGCCAGGTGTGCAAGTATGTATCAATGTCATAGTGCAACTGGGGCTAAGGATGGGAAAATAATGCCTTTACAGGAGCATATTCATAACAATATACCATTAGGAAACCAGTATCCTTACGGTTCTCTGACACAGTAAAGGGAAAACCATGAAGAAATGTATCAGTAATACCTTATGTCTTAATGGCTTCTGTCATGTAGAAAAATTAGAAGGTAAGCTTAACTGTAGAGAATTTTCTAGCCCAATGGTCACACTTCAGCGGTGGAGGGGCCATGCTTTTGTTTTCTCAAGTACTGCACCAAATGAAAAATACTGGTCATATTTCTTATTTGATAGGTGGCATGCTAAATTAACAACTAAGCAGTTGAGTGCCAAGAGACTTGTGTTTGCACTGCCTTTATTTCCATTCAGTTCATCCAGTTTACTTGATCCAGAAATGCAACCGAGTTTGGGTAGCAATACACAGACAGGTAGTCTTCACACTGTTCTTCGCACAACTTGCTTGCAGTGGAATATAGCTAAGAATTGATTGGTCAAATTGTAAGTTCTGAGACAAAGGGAAAATTCAATTAACTCAATATTTTGTTGTAAACAATTATGGTAGAGGTTAAGAATGGCAATTAATGGAGGAATAACAAAGTTACAGTAGTTTCTCCTTCTGGTTTGTTTGTTTGTGAAAGTATTGTCTTGACCAAGACAATAACTGAATATTATGAGTGATCTGACTTTGCTTTCAGGGTTTTTTCCCCACTGGAATTTCTGTACTGAGAGTGTTAGAACTTATCACATCATTTGCAATGCCTCATTAAGTATGTTTGCTGGAACTTTTTGGATTGCTTTGCTTTTATTGGAGCATGAATGTGTCAATAGAAAAGTCAGTTTGACAAAATTAGAACAATTATAAAAATTAAATGTTGCTTTTAATCGGAATGTGAAAAGGGTTGGAGAGCCTTTTTCTATATGCTTAAGGGCAACATACAAATTCTCTGTCATCAAAAGGGTAGCATGATGGCTGCCAGTGGTAGAAAAATCTAGTTACATATCACCACAGTTTGTGCTTCATGAAGACCTGAATTATTTGTATTTTGTCCCCATTGAAATCAGTGTGAAAAGTTAGTAATGATTAATAAGTCACATGAGACTTTACTGAGCTTAACTTGGAACAAAGCTAAGCCTAATGTAGATTAACAAATAAATATGTTCACACTGAAGTAGCATGGAATTTAACCAGAAAAATAAAGCAAGAATATTCCTAGATGCTGTATTACCACACATTTACAGGTACGTTCCACTAACAATTATACAGTTGACTCTTCTGTTGGGAGATGCTTAGCATCAGTTCTACAGCTGTGTTCCTCTTCTAGGGAATATGGTTGAGAGGGAGACAATAAAGACTTTGAGATAAATCCAAATAAAAACCACAACAAAGAAGGAAGAGGTCATAAAATTAAATAAAGTTCAACTTAAATACTTTGTTCTAGCTTAAGCTTATACCATTTGTACTAAACTTTGGCATTTCTTGGTAATTATTTTTGTCATGGTAGAAACAAGATTATGCAAGTATAGTAGAAAAGTGATTGAGTTATTGATTTAAAACAGAATTAAAACATTTCAAAATACTACTCCAGTTTCTTCTCCCTTAAAAAAAAAGATTCAGGAATCATTGACCTAAATCTGTTAGTCCCATCTAAAGTAGACCCATTGACTCACTGCTGATTTACCAAGTTCCCGTTGATTCAGTCAGTCAGCTCTAGTCTACAGCTTGCATGTACATGGTGGAGATATTACCAGAATAGCTGTGCTCCATTAGATCTGAGGGAGGTTGTGATTTCTGCTAGGAGAAATGTGATACGGATATGTATAGATGAAAATAAAATGAAGGTCTCTTGAATAAACCTGTTAAGTGAAGAGTCACTTCTCCTTGCCCCAGTCACATACACACACACTTTCATTCAGATTAGAATAGAAGGAGGAGAAAGTTTGAATGTCACTTTGGAAGCTGTTTATGGACTAAATGAGGGAATCTCACGACAGATAAGTACAATTGTAGCACGGTGATTGATTTACAGTCTGTGCAGTAATTGATTGTGCTATCAAATACTAAAATAACTAGTATAGTTCACACCATATTCTGTACCTTTAGCCTATTTTTCATTCTGCTTTGGAGCTCTTCAATACAAAGGTTAGCACATCCCATGATACATATTACTAGTATCATCTGACACTTTGAATGCCATTTTCTAAGTTAGTGTTCTTTCTAAGTTTGGAAAAGCAAAACTTCAAATATGTGATCTCCTATACCAGAATGGGCAATTTAAAAAAAAAATTCAATCCACAACCATTTTTGTAAGCATCCAGGATCCCTGGGCACTCCTAGAAATATCTTTTAATTACATTTTTAATTTAATTAATTATTTTTAATTATGTTTTTGGTCACTAGAGAATGAAGGGGTGCTTTTCCAGTTTAATACATATTTGTAGTTAAACCAGTTTCCCCACGTTAATTGGTCCCTTTACTTCAGCTCCCTTGAGTTTACAGTTCAGTCTGAAAAACTGGGATTGTCCACCTCATCCTAGAACCTTTATTTCCAGCCCTGGCCCTTTGTCATCATCATAGAGCCAGTAGACCTTCTGTCTCCTTTGCTGAATAAGCAGCAAAGGTCATTATGAATTAAAAATGAAAAAGAATTCAGATCCTGGCAGAACACGTACTTAAGTAAAACAGTGAACAGTGATGGCAGAACTGATTATAGATTCCTTTTTTTAAAAAGGGGGTTAAAAATGCTTAAGTAATGAATGAACTGAAAGTATTTATCTATGCTTTCCAAATGGATCATCACTAAAATTGCAGAAATACAAAAATTCAGTGACAAGAACCAGCTTGGTAAAGGCATACAGTTATAACAGTGAACAAGTAAGAAAATGCAATTAAGTAAGAAATTATAATTAAGCAATAAAGTCTTCACATGATGAGCACAGAAGCTGTAACTGTTTGGTATAACATGAAACAGCAAAGGATTGTGGCTCAGTTTCAGAGATCACCTGTCTTAAGTCATATGAAATAGAAGTGACCATTCTTCAAGCAAAATATTTGTGATTAGTATTTTGTGTAAGAAATTCAGGAAAAAATGATTATTTGTCTTTATTACAATTAGTGTGGTAGCTTAAGCTCTACTTGGTGGATTTCAGTAGTTTTCACAAGCAAGAGTTTAACTTCTATCAGATACAAGATGAAGAAATTCTTTATCTCATGTAACTTTTAGACTAATGTGATGCAATAATGAGTGTGCCTTGACTGTCAGACTGCTTATTATCTCTGCACATGTGGTTAGTAAAACCATAGTTTCAAAGTTAAGAGTCCAGGAGACATGGAAAGGAAGCCACTCCTTGCTTTGTGTCAGTGCAACAGCTGTGTTTCTAAGTATGTTAGTCAGCTGTAGTCTTCTGGAATCTTCTCTTCTAAACTGCTTCTATTCACCACAATTTCCAGTTTGAACCATCAGCTGATTATTTAAACTGCAAGAAGTTAACATCCAATAAATTCCTGTAAAACTTATGCAGCAGTCACAGTTCAAGGGCTTGTTAGTGTTTATCTTCCTTGCTTTGTGTCAGTTAAACAGCAGTGTTGTGTCCAGTGGTGAAGACAGGTAGATCTATACTGTGGGGTTAATAATCTTATGAGGAGAGGGGGCTATCTGAATGGGAATATGCATTATTGTACTTACTTCAAAATGTGGTGAGCTAGCTGTGTTGTTTATTCTGGTGGGCAAAGCCATGGACATTCACAGAGTTTTGCCTTAGTAGCACCACTTATTATGGCTTAGTTACTTCTTAGTCTGTCTTTTTAGTGAAGAAAGCAATAAGACCGGAAGGTAGATTCATGGACCGTTGTTGCTGCGATGTGTTATCAAGTTGCTTTTGACTTATAATCAGAAGTACTGTAATAGTGTTGCCAAGGCATGTGAAATGTTCATTGTCTTCCCTCCACTGAATTTCCATGGCTGACTAGGGAATTGAACCCAGTCTTCCTGGGTCCATTTCAAAGCTTGAGAAATTACATCTCCAATGTGAAATGAAGCTGTAATGTAGTATCCTCATCGGTAGACATATGACTCCTCATATGTGGCTTCCTTGGGTGTCTTCTGCCTTCTCTTATGCCTGTAATAAATTCTAAATCAGAAGTAGAAAAGGTAGGAAAAACATACAATATAAAACAACCTTTTCAAAATTAAAAAACACCCAAAACTATATAATGTTTATTAGTATGTGACAGTGATATGAGAATCCAACATCTTTGACCACATTCAATGATTTCTTATCAGAGTTTGCTGGGAGACAGGGCTCAGTAGCTGCAAGTGAACTGACTTTTTAAAAATGTAAGTTTTGATTAAAATAAACAGGAAAATTGGTAAGTGGTAGGGCACTTTGTGTATATTTTCCTAGGTCAAAAATTGTCAGTTATTATCTTTGTTTAGATTTTAATGTCTATCAGGAATGACAGGTCTCTTCACCAGATCCTATCATTTCAGAAGCTGTATAACCTATACTCAGTGAGGCACACATTGTTTCTTCATACCATGGCTTTTGTTACTTAATAGCAACAGCAAATCTCCTTGAAAGCTGATAATAAAATTAATTTGCCTTTAAAGTGTTACACATCTAATAGTACCAGTTTCATAAGTTCTGAATACCCATCAGAGAAAAGAGGTATTATTCCATATACAGTATATTTTCCATATACGTATGCAGTGCAAATTCCACTATTTTGCATCTCTTATTTTAATTTATATTTTTATTTTATTACATTTCTACCCCACCCATCTAGACCAAAGGTCTATTATTCTAAAAGTTGTGGGATAGCAAGACTAGAAAGGACACAGGCCAGAAAGTAGAAAATTGTTTATTTAATAGACAGTTCTAGCTTAGCTGGAGCATCGGATCATAGAATCATTGAGTTGTAGGGGCTTTATAAGGCCATCGAATCCAACCTTCTGCTCAATGCAGGAATCCAAATAAAAGCAGACCTGACCAACAGTTGTCCAATTTTCTCTTGAATGCCTCCTGCACTCACCACCTTCTGAAGTAATTCCATTATCATACAGCTCTAACGATTATGACGTTTTCCCCCTAATATTCAGCTTAAATCCAGTTTCCTGTAGCTTGAGCCCATTGTTATATGTCCTGCGCTAAACATACCCAGTTCTATCAATCTTTCCTCATAGGGCTTGGCTTCCAGCCCCCGGATCTTCCTTGTTGCCCTCCCCTAAACTTGTACCAGCTTGTTGGCATCCTCCTTGAAGTGTGGTCTCCAGAACTGAACACAGTACTCAAGATGAGTCCTAACCCATGCAGAATAGAGGCAGGCTAGTGCTTCATGGGATTTTCTGACTCAATACACACTCTGATATGGAGGAATCTAAAGTTCACCTTCAGCTTTGTTTTTTGTTTGTTTGTTTGTTTTTGAGTAACCAAGTTTTTCTTGCTGCTTATCCACTGTATGAGGAAATGCTTTTGAAGATTTGCCAACTGTCACTAACTTTCATTTGGTAGAAAGTCTTTCCTCCTGGCCCAGGAGATAGATTTTTATGAATGTGGAAACCAAGGGACTATGACTGCATTCAGTTGGAAGAGGCTGAGCCCCTTTGATCTTGGTGGGACTCACTTCTGAGTTAGGATGTGTGTAGGACTGTGACATGTGCTCTATATATTATAATTCATTTATTCCACAACCACAGTAGAGGCTTGAGGGTTAATTGGCACCTTCTACAAAAAGGCAAATAACAATTTTAATGAATTTCTGAAGACGTAGCTGTGTTAATCTGTCTCAGCATACTGGCAAGAGAAAAAACAGCAACCAAAATATTGTAGCCCTTTACAGGCTAAAATTTTATCTCAGTACGAGCTTTTATGGATCTTCAGACACTACAGTGCTAATATATGAGTGTGTTTTATACATATCCCCGCAACCAGGTGAGACTGCAGATACTGTAATAGACATAGTGATGGTGGTTCTTTAGAACAGGAATGAACCACGGGCACTTTGTTACTTGTATCTTCACCTGGTCATGTACAATATTTGTCCTTTAGTGTCTGAGAGAGTGGATTCTGAGCCACAAAAGCTGACAATGAAATGCCATTAATAAACTGCTACAATTTATTCTTTTTCCCTTTCCTTTTGGTGCTACAGTATTTTGTGAACTGCTTTTCTTTCTTTGCTTTACATTTTTACCAATCAATTTAAAGAAGGTTTTTGAGATGTATGGCTGAAAAACAATTTTCTTTATGTTGCATAAATTTATTTAAGGAACATTATAAGCACTTGGGTTGCTAGTACCATCTCTGACTAAGAATGGTTTTGTTTTGCACATAAACAGCCATTTATAATATTGAAAAAATAGTATTAAGACTGTATGGCTTGTAATATAATTTACTATGTTAAATATATTTTATTATTTTAAAAAGAACACACTGTATTAATAACGCATATTTCTGTGTTCAGTACTTCAGAAGCACGCCCAGCAGGCCTGGAAGAGGCAGATCAGCCAACAGTGCCAGGAGAGCAAAGTATAAATTTGGATAACACAGGACATAAGCTCTCAGACTTCACAAACAGGCCACAAGGTATTTTTATGATGAAAGTATATGGACTATATATAGCAGTATTATTTACATTCTGCATTCTGTTCTTTTTTCTCCACTGAAGTATAAATATTGCACATGAGTTCTGCCAGTTTACAGGTATTTCTTCTAAAGTTGACACGTAAAAAAGAACAAGTCTTGTTGCATCTGTTTATAACAATTCTTGCAGCTCTCTAGTACTTAATTTGCAATTTCTAAGAACAGTTCTGTTCTTCCAATCAGACTTAATAGCCTCTCTTTGTAACATCCTATTCCAATAGTAGCTTCCATGTAATCTACAAGGCAGCATCCTATTCCCCCACTGCATTGTTTCTTACACCCCTGCCACCTAATGACACTCAGAGACATATTGTTTCTAATCTTTAAGATACAAGTTATAGGTTATGGCTACTAGCTGTTGGTAGTGCTGATCTACAAATTTCTTATTTCTGTTTTTGTGTTAGATATTAATCTATCAATCTGCAGGCAATCTATATCTGTGAATTTGTCTGATCTCTTAAAGCCATCTACATCCATGGCTGTGTGTCAAAAGTTAGGTGAAAATTTAATTTAGCTATAAATTAATGTATAACTAAATTTTGTAAATCAATTCTGCCAGTTTAGAGTTTCTCTTGGATGTTCTCAACCTGCTGGTAATCAGTTTCTGTGGCTGATTCAAACTTCTTGTACTTTAAGAAAAAGACAAATATTTTATTCACACTACATACAGTCTTCAGAATGTGGGATTTAATAATTTGTTCCATGCTAAAAAGAAGCAGATGTTTTAGTCTGTCTTCATAGGAAAGAAGCTTATAACCAGCCACTGTTTGGACAGTGTCTTCCAGCCCTGCAATATCATTTTAAAGATAAGTCTGCCAGAAATCTATGTAATATAGCCAGTGTAGGTGGGGCCGGGTAGGTGGGGCTCGTCAGCCATGGAAGGCAGCCCATCTAGGAGAAGGAAAACTCCGATTTCAAACCTCCACTGTCTTGTGGCTATATCCACTCATGGAAAAGGCTTCAGGAGTTAACCTCGAGGCAAAATCCGGAGCTGGAGTCCCGAAGGCAGCATGTGTCATTCTGCCAACTCCTGCGACATTGCTGGAACCAGTTGTATTGGCTCTTGCCTTTCCATTGGACCATTTCAGCAATGTGGAGAGGGGGGATCTGCTGCTTGGGTAACAGCCTATCCTCCATATTACTTTACCCAGGCTTCATGCTCTGGAGAGGACACTCCTCGATTCAGAGCATGTTACCATAGTCTCTTGAGACTGAAGGATGCCTATGTATAGCCAGTGTAGCTATATTATAAATCAGCATATAGGCATATAGTAATTGGCTTCATGTATTCAGTGTTTTTTTTAAAAAAAATCTAGCATGAAATTTGCCTCCTTCATCCCTGCCACTTAATAAATTGATGTTTTGTGGAGCTGTTTATTCTGACCCTTATGTCTCTTTTCCTAGTTAGTCATTACAGATTTGATTCCCATTAGCAAAGATACAATGCTAAAGGGAAATGTGGAGGTGGGAGTCTTCCTCAATATGCCTCATTTTATCACTGAACCTTATTTGTTGACCACTTACTAAATAGTGTAGATTTTTGATCACTCAGAACTGCTGGTATAATCTGTGAATTTGTTTATTTCATTGGCTTCTTACTCCACATAGCCTCAACAGCATCAGGCAAAATATAAATCTGGGACAGGGGAATCCACATGGCGAATTATTCATTTACACCTAGTACACTGCTTCCTGTTCTTCATCAGCTATGCTTTCTTCTAGTTTACATTAGGCAGAGGTGAGATCCAGTAACCCTATAACATTTGGGGTGTCCTTCCACAATTACTGTTTTTAAAAACTGTGTATCATCCTCTAGTGAGATACCCAATTTTACTGAGACTTTTTTTAAAAATTGTTTTTATGCCTGTAGGCTACCCAGCTCAGCCAGTGGAACAAAGATCTCTGCAGCAAATGGCACCTCAGCTTTTGCAACATGGACAGCAGCAACAGCAGCAGCAGCAACAACAACCACCACCACCACCACCCATACCTCAGCAGACACAGTCCCAACAGCAGCAGCAACAACAGATGATGATGATGCTTATGATGCAACAGGACCCTAAATCAGTGAGGCTCCCTATTCCCCAAGGTGTTCATCAGCCTAGGGGCCCTCTGAATGTAGAGACACAAAGAATGCCAATGCAGCAGGGGAGTAACATGTCAGTCATGGTTAGCCTACAAGGTCCTGGTGCTGTGCCCCCATCTCCTGACAAGCAAAGAATTCCTATGCCAAACAATCCAACTTTGCTGAACAATGCTCGAAAGATGGTTTATACAGATAGTGCACAGAATCTTACCAGCTCTCCTTTAGGAGAGGTTCCATCATTGCCCTCTGTTTCAGAAGGAAATGGGCCTGAAACCGCTCCAGTATCAGGGCTTCAAAATAACATAGCATCCCATTTAATTGTTTCACAAAATCAGCTTTTGATGACAGGGCCAAAACCTGGACCTTCTCCACTCTCAGCTCCCCAAGGTGCAAGCCCTCAGCAGCAAGCTAATTCTCTTCCTGGCCCACACCCACACCATTTTCAAAATGTTACCCCCACGTCCCAGACATCAAGACCCAAAACACCCAACAGGGCAAGTCCAAGGCCATACTATCCTCAGACACCCAATAATCGTCCACCAAGCACAGAGCCGTCAGAAATAAGTTTATCTCCAGAGAGGCTGAATGCTTCTATTGCAGGTCTTTTTCCTCCTCAAATAAATATTCCTTTGCCTCCTAGGCCTAGTCTTAATAGAGGATTTGATCAGCAGGGTCTTAATCCAACCACTTTGAAGGCCATTGGACAAGCACCCTCAAATCTCACAATGAATAGTCAGTCAAATTTTGTCTCTCCACAAACACACAAACTTGACCCTATCACTGTTAATTCAGGAAAGCAAACAAATACTGGTGGAGCAAAGCGAGCTAGTCCCAGTAACAGTAGAAGGTCCAGTCCTGGCTCTAGTAGGAAAACCACACCAAGCCCTGGGAGGCAAAACTCAAAAGCAGCTAAATTGTCTTTGACATCCCAACAAAATCCAGCCCTCATGCAGAATATGGATTTGCAGAGAAGTATGATGGTTGGTCCACCTTCTTTGCAAACATCTATGCCAGGAAATTTCCAAAACAATGGCATGTTAACTGCTCAGAACACCACAATCCCCATATCTGTTATGACTGGCATCACTGAGGATAACAAAGAAAGCTTCACTGTTCCTCAAGAAAGTACATGCCAGAATGTGCAGGTCATCCAGGTAAACAAAGATCAACACAACATGGAACTAAAAGGTGTTCCAAGCCAAGAAATTAAAATACTGGTCCATGAAGACCAACAGAAAAGAGAGCCCCCTGCTACAGAATCCAGCAAGCTTCCCAGTCTGGAAGAAAGCAAAACTATTCTCTCTCCAGCAATGCGGGAGGCACCAACATCCTTAAGTCAGCTTCTTGACAATTCTGGCGCTCCTAATGTTACCATCAAACCACCTGGCCTTCCTGGCCTTGAAGTGCCTCCAACAGTGACTTGTGCAAGTGAATTTAAAAAGGTTTCTTCCATTCCTCCTCAACAGGATCTTCTTTCAAGTAAAGATCCCACTTGTTCTCTAACTTTACCTCCACATACTGAAGCTTGTTCTGCTCAAGTACAACAAGACTTGGGAGACATAAACCCAAGTGTTTCTCAGAATATGTCTCCAGTAATTCAAAGGCCTGTTAGCACTGCTTCTATTTCTACATCACTCCCTCCCAATCAGATAACAGTGTTTGTAACTTCCAATCCCATTACATCATCCTCTAACACACCGGCATCACTGCCTTCTCATTTACAGTCTACGTTAATGCCTACAGTTGTCACAATGCCTAATGTGGGGAATAAAGTTATGACGTCTGAAGGGCAGACAGCAGTTCAATCTAATACTCGGCCTCAGTTCATTACTCCAGTTTTTATTAATTCATCTTCAATAATTCAGGTTATGAAAGGGTCACAGCCAAGTACAATGCCTACAACCCCAATGACTTCCAATTCTAATTTAATACCACAGTCTGTTGCAGTTGTTGGCCCTTTGCATTTACCCCAGAATATAAAGTTCTCATCAGGGCCTGTGCCTCCTAGCTCATCATCTAATACTATCTCAAGTATGGCAACAAGCCGATCATTGGTTATTAATTCACTGCCAACTTCTGTTCCACTTTCTTCATCATCATCAACAGTACCATCAAGCACTTCTTTGCATCCACCCAACCAACAAGTCAAAGATTTTAATCCAGAGGAGGTGAGTTCACAAGGTTGTACATCTGTGGACCCATGTGCTGAAGCAACCTCGCAATCTGGAGTGGTGGTTTCTCCGACTCATCCACATAGTCCTGGATCTTCTGTCAACAGACGAAGCCCAGTTTCCTCTGCTAAGGGAAAGGGAAAATTGGACAGAATTGGCCATTTTTTGCTGACAAAAGCATGTAAGAAAGTAACCGATTCCTTTGAGAAAGGGGAGGAACAATATGCTATGGAAGAAGAAGTGGGGGGTCAGGGACAAGATGTTTCACTCTCTAACAGTCTGGAAGTGGAACAGTTACCTGTAGAACTGGAAGACAACATTGTGCCATCTCCAGAACCCACTCTTTTGAAACAAAGCACTTCTGGGACTGGCCTTTTAAATATAAGTAGTACTGCTACTGTTTCTGCCTCTGTATCTCTAAGCTTACCAGACAGCACTCCTTCCACTAATGTACTGTCAGTAGTAACCACTCCAGTAATCTGTGACATTGTATCTCCAATTCCAAGTACTAATGGTAACCCAGGGAATTTCTCGGTGGAGCAGGTTGGAACTGGACTAGAGGATGAGAAGACAGAAGCCCATCATGAATTACCACAGAACATGGGTATGTGCTCTGCATTTGAAGTATTTGTGATGCTCTCCCTCTAGGACCATGAATTTGAGATGGGTTTGTGTATTTCACAACCTGAAATCGCTCCCTTGGAAGGTTTGGGCAAGTCTGGCTGGGAGTGGGAGCCTAATATTTAAAAAACAAACAAACCTCTTTTTCAGATTGACTGAAATAACAATGATCGGAATCCTGTTGCGTATGTATACCAGCATAAGTATAGCAGTGCAAATCATAGCAGCAAATTGCTTCTGTTACGCAGTCATAGTTTATGTGCCAATGACCAAAAATACAAGTGGCAGCATCTTTGCTAACAGCAGTTCACTGTTGTGATATGTGGTGTGGCACTTAATATAATTGACAGGATTCTGGCCAGTGTTCTAAAATAGTGCTTTCAAGAGATTTCCACCACATTGCTACAAGATTCAAAGCTTGATCCAAGATTCGAAGCTACAAATGTTATACAAATGTTGATTGTGATCACATTTGATTGAATTACTAAAGAAGAACCACTGTTAGATTGTGGTTGGGAAAGAGTACCTCTAGAACACTGCTGAAAGCAGTACAGTTCTACTTTTTTATTTCAGGGAGCAATGTGAGAATCTATGTGAGAGTGGCCTTGGCTGCCAGATGGGTGGTATAAAAATCAAGTCAGTCAATCAATCAGTCAATTTACCAAAATTTTTGCTGCTTCAGCATGAGGGCCTTAACTCAGCCTCTGCCTTCAGTTATTTTCTCTGATGGAACAACTACATTGACAAATAATGTGGGAGATGCTCCACAACTGGCATAGTCACATTTGCATTATTTCCTTTGGCTATATAATGTACACATTTCTTTGGTCACGTAGCTGTCCTACTGATAGGGCAGCAAGACTTTAAAAGAAAAAAAATGAACAAGAGCAGACCAAAGCACCAGGTTAAGGGAGGAGAGGATTCAAATGGCAGCCAGTTTCCCCTTTGCCCTGCCTTTCTTGCTCCTACTCTAGCTGGGTGTGATGGCCATGCTCTCTTATTAATACTCATTTAGTTTATTTCATTAGAACTCAAAAAGTTACTAAATGGCTTCAGTTTTAGGTTCAAACTATGGCTATTTAGTTAGTTGTAAATGTATTTATTTTGTTGCATTTGTATCCTAGCTTGCCTTCAGTGTAGTGTAAGTACTGTACGGTAGTTATTTACCTCCACCCACCTGCATTTATCCTTACAGCAGTCTTGTAAGATATTGGGCTGAGAGATGGTAACTGGAATAACATCACCTAGTGAGCGTCATAGCTGAGTGGTGATGTGAACTTAGGTCTCTGTGTGCCTGGTCTGACATACTAACGCTTACACCACCTTTGTTCTATCTCCCTTATCAAATAACTGTCAGAGTGAGTGACATAATGATAAACTTGTATATGTATATTGTTTTGCAAAGCAGTGTAATTTTGTTGTTTAGTCGTTAAGTCATGTCCAACTCTTCATGACCCCATGGACCAGAGCATGCCAGGCCCTCCTGTCTTAAACTGCCTGCTGGAGTTTGGTCAAATTCATGTCCCTTGCATTTTCTTTCCCTTCTCTGCTATTTGGAAAGCCTTGTTGGGCAGCCACTTTGCTTTCTTTCATTTCCTTTTCTTTGGGATGGTTTTTGTTGCTGCCTCCTGTACAATGTTACGAGCCTCCATCCATCCATAGTTCTTCAGGCACTCTGTCCACCAAATCGAGTTCCTTAAATCTGTTCTTCTCTTCCACTGTGTACTCATAAGGGATTTGGTTTAGATTATACATGAATAGCCCAGTGATTTTTCCTACTTTCTTCGGTTTAAGCTTGAGTTTTGCTATAAGAAGCTGATGATCAGAGCCACAATCAGCTCCATGTCTTGTTTTTGCTGACTGTATAGAGATTCTCCATCTTTGGCTGCAGAGAACATAATCAGTCTGATTTTGCCATTGCCCATCTGGTGATATCCATGTGTAGAGTCGCCTCTACAGCGTAATACTGTTTACCAAGCAGTACCTGATGTTGAATTAACTATAACGATTATGACTTTTGATAAATGTTTCAAAGTTGTTATTATTATACCTGTTTATCAGAAAGAGAAAATATTTAGTGCTGTTGATTGGGAGTATAGTTGTGCTGTTGTTGCTTTTGTTGTAACACGTCACCTTCCTTACATTCTCCATCTTGAATTCATACTAAGAGCACATGCTTCTTGTTAAGTTTTGCTGCCTTTCATAGTACAGTGGTGCCTCGCGAGACGATGTTAATTCGTTCCGTGAAAAACATCGTCTTGTGAAAACATCATTCTGCGAAACGCGGTTCCCCATTGGAATGCATGAAATCTATTTAATGCGTTCCAATGGGGAAAAATCGTCGTCTTGCAAAATCGTCCATAGAAAACATCGTCTTGAGAAGCACCACGGCAATCACAAAAACCAATCGTCTTGCGGATTAATCGTCCCGCGAGGCAATCATCTTGCA